GCCCTAGGTGCGTCCCATAGAGTTAGGACGCTGCACCCTAAGGCGCTCCTCGGAGAACGTAACATGACCTAACATACCCTACGATAGGCCATGTTTTAATTAGAAGTAATGTTTAGAATACATTTTTTTGCTTTTTGTTAATTGTATTTACTTTTGTTGATTTAAATAAATAAATTAAATTATAAAAAATATTAAGAGGGGGAGGGGATCAAGTCAAATTTCATCTAATCAAACGTTGGAGAGAAGGGGGATATAGGCAATATCACGCAATTTTTTTTCTGATTGAAAAAAAAATTTCTATTTTGGTCCATTTAATCCAGTTTGTAGATGCTTAAGATTTAACCTTATTAACAATCCAACGTGTGTACGTAAGAAACTCTCATTTTGAAAAATCTCACGTGAGATTGGGGGATGGGGGAGGGAAAATTAAAAAAACACCTCACGTATTTTATGACTGTCATTCTTAAATGTGCCACGGTACTTGTGTGCCGCCAAATGTGGCATATTTTTGTCATAAACTATTTATGCAGTTTGTTCTAGTAAGTAAATATTTTTTTATGTGCCGCTAAATTTTGAAATCGATGAATATGTACCGCAACATGAAAAGGTGGAGAATCACTGAACTAAATTTTTAACTTTTAACTGATTTAACTTTTCGGCGTTTTAAATAAAATTGTAAAAAAAAAAGTCTGGTCCTTCGAGTCAGATATCGATATCAATACACTGATATTACAATCGACTAATAGTTTTTTGTATTTTTTTACTATAAACATTGTTTGTATACCATAAATAAATAAAAAACACTGTATTATTCAAACCAGTTTCACAATAATCATTAGGGCTCTGTTTCCTGAGATAGGGGAACTGCAGAATAAATGTGTTTAATATAGGAAACTTGAACATTGTAAAAACTAAAATTACTTTATGTACTATATCCAATACTAGCTGTTCCCGTGCGACTTCATCCGCATAAAATTATGAAAATTTCATTTTATTGTTTACATTTGTCAAATTATCAATCACAAATGTCAAAATGACATGATGACAACCTTGCTTCCTTGATGTTGGCAGCAACCTATGGCCTCTTTCCCACATTACGGTTTTTATCCAAAATATTAACACCCTAAGTTTAATGGCGTTAAAATATATAGAAGAAAATAAAGAAGTGTGTGTTTACACTTTATTATAATAGTATAGATTGTATATTTAACAAATACAATACATAAACAAAAGTGATGCATGGATTGTGTGAAAGGTGACATGATGAAGAAGGGAGTGATGACTGAGGTGACGGATGATAGAGTGCTTTGGAGGACGAAAACCCGGTGCGTCCTACGGGAGTAGCATAAAGCAGGGTAGATGATATACTAAACAATATTTTTGATTATTTATTTAACAGTATATTTGTTGATATTAAAGCGTTTCTTCCGTTGCGGTGTGGTGGTGACGAGCGTGTCCCGGAGCGCGCGCGGCGCCGGCCCGCCCTGCGCCCGCGCCGCCTGCCCCCGCGCCGCGCCCTACTGCGTCTCGGGGTAACACAGATTACTTAACTACACTATTAACTATAGACACAAACTACCCAACTGCACACCTAACTACACTATTACTAACTACCTATACAAACTACCTTCCTGCACAGCTAACTACACTATTACTAACTAGCTACCTGCACAGCTTACTACACTATTACTAACTACCTACCTGCACAGCTTACTACACTATTACTAACTAGCTACCTGCACAGCTTACTACACTATTACTAACTACCTACCTAGACAGCTATCAAGTCCATAGAGATGGTAGTTTAGTCGGTAACGGAAGTCATGCTAGGCAAGGTGAACACTAATGATCCTGACCCCGACACACTAGGCATGTTGCTCCCATGCCTGACGGTCCTATAAAGCATTTTTCCCCTGTATAAAAAAATACAAACTACACTATTAACTGTCACAACTACCTAACCATACCATTACTACCTACATAACTACTTAACTACACTAGTAAATGCCAACAAAACTACCTAACTATACTATTATAATCCTATAACATATTGCAGAATGATCGAGTGAACATTAAAAAACTAAATTAATGAATCCCACGGGAACCGTAACTATTCCCAAGATAAAAAG